TATTTTTTTACTAAATCTATCCTCAATTTTTTTTACCTAAAACATGTCCTATATCTTTCTTTGAATATATGTTAATAAATAAAAGTCACATAATAATTGAAATTAAATTAAGAAAATATTCAATGAGGTTTATAGTATTGCAATCTTGCTACAGTGATAGAGTCAATTACAGACTTAATAACGGAAGGGACACGTATCAATATATGATTGGACAATTTTTTTATTTTTTTTAAAATAACATCCAATCCCACCCTGCCACAACACTTTGTCACCTCACCTCCTGTCATTGACAAAAAAGTTAGATATATAAATACAATAAGGAGCAAAGATTAAAATCGTTTATTGCAACTAAAATGTGTTGAAATTTAAAAAAAATATTAAAAAAAAAATTATTATGTGAATATAAATTACCTTAAATTATATGACGGATTTCTTTTATTTAACCCTACTTGTTCTTGTCCAAAACAATATGTCAAACACGTCTTTCTTATTGGTTGTATGTTACGTGAATTGATCCTTATGTCCTAAATTCTTTGTATTTTCTTACACAAAGGCATTTGGTCGTGAAATTACACCTCCTTAACCGGACAGATCTAAGGAAGGGGACTTTTTACGTGCCCCAACTAGGATTATCCTGTAACTTGAAATATCATTGTTTGTTCGTTCATAATATTGTTGTACTCTTATATTTTTCTCTCTAAGTCGAAATAATAACTCATTTTAGGTGATAATTAAAATTAGATTTTCAATAAATTTTGATGAAATATATGCACGTAATTAAAAAATTATGAATCACATAAAATATGCTATTCAAATTAATTATTGACTACCCCTTCATTTCCCACCAAACATGATATGAAAAGTAGTCTACTTTATAATATTAGGCCAATACTCACTCGGGATTGGTGGAAAGTCTTAAAATTCTATACAGTGGAAAGTCTTCAAATTTCTATATACTACCCCTCTCCTTCCCTATACACACACTCTTCTCTCTCTAAACTTCCCTTTATTTTTTCTGCTCTCTCTCTCTCACTCAGAAGAAACCCGTTGCTGCAAATTAATGATTGATCTTGTCATTGCTGCATCATTTTGTAGAATCTTATTTGGTCTGACGTATCAAATGTACTATTAGTGTACTTACATATTAATTAGAGAATAATGCACTATTTGCATAATCAATTCTTGCATTTCTTGAATACATGGAAAACTAACATAGTTTTTTTAAATTCATTGATTCTTCTCGATCAATTATTGTATTTCTTGAACACAGAGTTAACTAACACACAATCTTTGCACCAGTGATGGACCTGGAAAACACATTTTGATCTTCTGAAAAAGCTTGTTCTACCAGACGGTTCAATTCTTCGAGCTCGGTTGCCTGGTCGACCTACCAAGGATTGCCTGTTCTCTGATCATTCTCGCGACGGTGTTAGGTAGAGTTTCTTAATTGAAAATTGTTGTTGAGCAAGGAGAATTTGACAAAATCATTATTAAGAAAGAATGAAGTTAAAATCTTGTATAATGTCGAGTCTTGTCTTAATATTGTGTGCAACAGACTTCCAATTCAAGGGCCAAAGCCGCCAAACTTTGTTCACTTTTGAATGTGAAATGAAATCCCATTAACATCTTTCTGATTAAATTTGGTTTTATTTCAACCTGTTGAAGATATGGAACATCAACAAGCATACTGGAGTACTTGGAGTGTACAACTGCCAAGGTGCAGCATGGAACAGTGTTGAGAGGAAGAACACATTCCACCAAACTAAATCTGAACCAATGACAGACAATATTAGAGGTAGTTATGTACATCTAATTTCTGAAGTTGTCCTGGACTCCAACTGGAATGGTATTGTAGCTATGTACTCCTACCAGAGTCGAAACCTTGTCACTCTGCAATACCATGTTGCCATACCGATGTCACTCAAGGTCCTTGAACACGAGATTAATGATTGATGAAGATCTTGATTCCGGATGTTCTAGCACCTGTTCGGGTTCCTGTGGTTGGTTTGGGTGGTGTTGTTTTG